ATTTAATTTAATGGATCAAATAATTCTTAATTAAATAATCTAATCTGTCAATCAATACCATTCAAAAACCATACATATAAACTCAAATTTTTAAAATATCTAGTCTATTGTTTTAGGCAAACAATTAACAAACTGTAAACCATAGCAGATACAAAGTGGTCACAAGCGAAACGATTAATATTGTCTGCGGTTCAAAGCCCAAGATAGAACCTAGGAGAGTGCAACACAAATAATTGAAGTAATCACAAGACGCGATGAGTGACAACGGACTTGCATGAGTAACTTTAGTTTAGATCAAAAAACGGCATTGACCCTCTTGCGCCGTGCAAAACTAAAAATTAAAAAATTATGTTTTTAGCAAATAAAAATACATTTAAAAAAACTTCAGAAAAACACAAAATTTTATAAATTTTTGTTATGTTAAAAAAAATTTTAATTACTATGAACCGCAGAGGAGCCAATATTTTACTTCACATCTTGTATCTCGGCACACATGAGAAGCGCAAAGCTGTTTCGCTTCCTCAATATTCGACTATCGATTTACACTTCAAATATCAATTTGCAATGCTTTTTGTTGTTTTTATTTGTTACTATTGACTTTTATAAAAATATTTTTATTGTTATTGCTTTTATCTTTAAAAATGTATTTTAATATTTCTTATTTTCTTGAATTCATTTCCTGACCAACTTCTTCTGTTTCTTCTTTTTTGCGGCACTGTCAGTATCGCATAGGTCGTCTACGAATGCGTTAAGATATTACCTCCCAATGAGATTGAGCCAACATTGACCTTATTTATGTATTCAGCCATTTCTTATATATTTTTAATATTTATTTTCGGAACGATTTACATATATGTTAAAAGTAGCTTAAACATTAGTTCAAAATATAGTTAAACATATTTTTTTAAAAATAAACATAGATCTATCTTATCTATGTTTTGAAAATAAAAGCTTACGACAGTATAATTCTTTTTGAGGGAAATAAGGACAATAAGTTTGAGATAAAATTTGTTTTCATGTGAACGGATTTTAAGGTTCATATCTTAAATAACTGCAATACTTTTGAATTAATTTAATTTCATTAGGTAGGATTATTATATCACAAACTGTTACTACTTTCAATATCACTGATTCCTCAATTGAATTAAATACTCAAAATATAGTTTGAAAATAATTTGACTGCATCCATAAATATGTATTATTATTATTCTTAACTCAAATTTTTTTTAAATAATTTAGATTTAGATGTATTATTGAATTTAAATAGATTCACATGGCTTAAACATTTTCAACTGAAAAGAATTAGCTGTGCCAAAATTCTTCATCACCTCCAACCGCTATTCAGAAATAAAATTCTCAATGCTAAGAACAGGAAACTGATATATAACCAAAAAATTCGTCCATCACTTCTATATGGATGTGAAGCTTTTAGCAAAGCTTCAAACACTACTATTCCCCAGCTAGAAATTGCACAAAGTCAGGCTCTGAGAAGACTTTTCAAAGTACCATGGTACATTAGGACGAATGACATCCTCAGGGACCTCAAAATTGATCCCATCAAAAAATACATAAATAATAGAGCCCTGAAATTATTTGTGAAAACTGACAAACTGACCAACACCGCGTTATCAAATCTCAGAATGGTTACGCGTTCCTCGGGGAGGTATGCAGATCTGAGGTCACTTATTGCTTAGTCTGATGAAGTGATTAACAATAATCCAGTCAAGGCGTAAAGAGGGGTTTTAAAAATACCTCGAGTTAAGCAAGAGTAAAAATGCTCAAGTGCACTGGCTGAAATAGAAATAAATAATAATTAAATAGTTTTAATTTAAAAATTCTACCTAAAAATTCATCTTCATTAATATAAGATGATCGAAAAGCGGCTTTGCTGGCTTGGTCTTGTCATGCGAATGGCTAGAAAGGTGTTTGATTCGGTACTCCCATATGAAAAACGCGGTAGAGGACGTCCGCATCTTCGGTGAAAGGACCAAGGAACCAATGATTTGGGGGCGCTCGGTATTACCAACTGACGATAGCAGGCAACTAATTGGGCTGACTAGTGGAGACTACTCGTCGCGGCCAAGGACGACTCAGGTCTATAATGGCCAACTATGTAAGTAAATAAGATCTTATATTTCAGTTACAAAAAAGTCCAGAAAAGGACAACTTTGCAAAATATGAATAGATGGAGTCAACAATAACCTACAGAGAATAAGCGTCGGAAATAGACAGAAGAAGCGAAAAATTAAAGACGTAAATAACTACGCTAAGAAAGAAGAACGTCTTAACTCTCGAAATCCATTACACAATTATTTCTGTAAATTTTAAAAAGCATTCAATTAATAAAACAATATTGAAAGAATATTATCGTTGACATTGAAAGAGTGGATGTTAGGACGTTACTCTACAAGTTAACTAAAATAATCCAAGAGATTAATTCAATAGAAAATTGTGATATCCGCAAAATTTACAGTTCGATATGTTTGTTGGTCAAAACGCTTTATTGGCTTTCCAATACTTTGTTTTTTTCAATAGAAATTTATCTTCCCGTATAATGTATATACCATTTTCATAATTAAATAAATTCAATTTAAAAATGAATTACCAACAAAAGTTTTAACTTTCTATTTCAAGTTTTTATTATAAAAAAAAAAGATATGTTGGTTTTTTTTTAAAATACACCAGCAATAATAGAATTAATACCGATAAAATAATATTAATTCTAATTTAAAATTTTGTTTCGTCTTAATATATTCCGCATATTAAAATCTACTTTGACACTGACACAGTGGTTGAAATACGTTTTCGAGTTTCGAGTTCTTGTTCCTCCAATGTACGAGTGCTTCGAGTCTAAATTTAGCGTCGATTATTAAACAATGTTTATGTAATCGCTGTCTGGCAGAGAGAAAAGCATCACAAGATCTTTCGGATCATTTAACACCCAACGAAGTGTGGCTTACACGCTGCTTTTGGGAATTTGTTAGTACATATATTATTTAGTAATTTTGGATATGTAAAACATCTGACAAAGTTTCGATCATTTCGAATTTATGTGCATATGTTCGAAAGGAATCTAAAATAAGAAATGTTCGAATACATGAAAATCTTCAAATATTCTTTGAAAACTCGTTTCCATTTTATTTAAATTCTTAAAATGAGTTTCTTTCAAATCAGCACATGAATTGAAAACAAGTTCTTAAATAATTCCCCGCAAGAGCTTAACATACATAAATGTATTTAGAGAGACCAGTATTCTAATCCTTGAATATAAAAATTGAAATATAAATATTTAAATAATTAAAAATTTTTAAATAATTCTATATCAATGGTTTAACCTTGTGCTATTTAAATAAAAACACTAAATTAGTATTCAAACAGAATACAGAAACTATCGAACATCTAAACCACATAATAAAGAACGGTCAAAATATTTTAGTTCAACGACTGTCAACAAACTTACAAAAATAGCCGTAACAGAATATCTGCACCCTACATATTAGTTAATCGTCTCACATGTAACAAAAAGTAAATGGCTTTTAGTATTTATAGTAATATATATTGCTTCCCCATATCTAACATTATTTACTTAGCACCATGTATAAGCAAACAATTTCATTTCCGCATTTATTAAAAATCTCTCCAAGCCTATATTGACATACTATTAAAAATAATCCCCTAAGTACATGTTGGAAGCGTTGATTATTTACTCAGCTTCTATTCTTAATGAAACATAATATATTGAAGACCAAATCTATTGATTAAATGCAATATTGTCCTTTAAACATGGCATGATATGTTATGATCTATTGTGGGTCTTTGTTGAGGTATCTTCCAGTCGTAAGCCAAGCGGTGAATCAAGCTAAGATATTATATGTTTATTTAATCGACTCTAGCAAAAAGTAAGATTAAGACAATGCAAAAAAAATATTCATTTCTCCTCTATTAAAGAAATAATCCGGACCAAATACTTTTTTGTATATCTTTTAGTACTATATATATGGTAATTATCACTGACCGTGTTGTCATAAAGATCACTGACAATAGAGTGAAAATTTATAATTATTAAGAAGGCAGGAAAAAGCAAATTTTAAATAACTAACATCTTCCAGATCACTTACACTGGTATTATACTCACTTAAATTCTTTGGAAACAGATCAATTCTCACAGCAGGTAATGCGTTTCTGTAGATCATGATCGTGTTATAAAATAAAATAACTATGAAATTATTAACTGTTTTATTAGATTGCGTTTACATTACATGCGAATTTTCTCGTGCGAATTCGTACGATCAATTCAAATGTTTGTAATTATATGTGAGTGGTTACAGTTGCGTTATTACAAAATGGAAGGTGTAAATAGTGAAGTTAAGAGATATGTATTGTTTTCAAGTAATTTTAAGTCTCAAGTTTATAATTGAAAATAAATTTGGAAACATATACTACTTTTATGAAATGGATTACGATTTGCTAATTTCTTTGTTTGAGGAATAGACAAACTCTTCATATTTATACCTTAAAGAATAAAAATCATGCATCCAGATTCATCTTTTGTTATTTGAAATTAATAATGATTGGTAACGAATTTTCCACTAAATATATATCATATTCACTAACCATTTTGATTTCATTTTCAAACAAAACAGATATGTCAATTCGCTAGTAATGTAACCGGAACATGCGATGTGTTCGCAAGACAAAACTCGCATGCAATGTGACCGTAACTTCGCACTTGACTAAATTTAACTATTACCGATTTTTAAATGGAATGGACAAATATTTAAAAAAAAAGTGTTAAGTCACCCTTCAATAGTTTTCCAAAAAATAAATTTTAATAGATCTATACACCAATCGATGTGAAGTGACACCAATCGAAAACATTCTTACCACATTTCTCTGCAGTTTGTTAATCATCGTGTGAAGTTCCTGCGTATAAAATAGTAATAGAAGCACCCTGTGCGGTTTTTGTTGTCATTTTATTTTGAAGAACAGCTGCTTCCCTTAACTTATTTGTATTTGTTGCATCTGTGGGAATTTGATAAAGCGATTATGTTTTTTTTATCAAAACTATTAATTGATAAACAAAGTATTTAGGAATTATGACTGTGCGCGGTATTGAGGCCTTGAAATTGTACTTTCCGCCACCAACAAACAAATCTCAAATTGATGCAAATATAAGAGAAGAAATAGGTCGTGAAACAAAGAAAATCGTACAGGAAGATACGATGACTTCTGTCGAAAGATACAGGTTCGTACTTAACAATACAAATCATATGTAGATTGTGTAAACAAAATAAATGCAAATATTCCTTTACTAAGGCAAGAATGGTGCCAATTACTAAATTATTTAGATGAAAATCCTGAAACCGTAAAGGAGCACGCCTTCAAGGGTGATTTGAAAATATCGAAATTTCGGAGCGTTTACTGGGCTTTGTTGTTGCGAGTCTTGAATACAGATCACAGATCCTGGCAGCAGCAAAGAGAACAACAAAGAAAACGGTGATAGATTACTAATAGTAAATACAAAAAATTAGTTTTCAAAAATTTACTTCTTTTATAAAGTTATGCACAGCTAGAGAAGGAATTTGTTAAGAATCCACATGACATGAATTTATCAAATGATGATCCATTATCACAATCCACACAAGTACTGTATTTTAATTCACTAATACATTCACTAATTCACTAATTACATTCTTTTACAGAGTGTCTGGAATCAATATTTTAGCGATCAAGAATTATTTACAGTGATACGTCAAGATGTTATTCGCACTTTTCCAGGTGTAGATTTCTTTCGTAAATCCATTATTCAGAATGCTATGGTAAGCCAAGAACAAATCTATTTGTTAAACACATGATACTACAATACATTCTAGAGTAATATCTTATTTTACTTTGCCCGCGTACATCCTTATATGGCTTACCGCCAAGGCATGCATGAAATTTTAGCGCCAATACTATTCGTGATGTACGGAGACCATCAATCTCTGCTACATTTTATTGAAATATCCAAAGGAGAAATAAAGTAAAAATGTCTAAAATGTATATATGTGAAAATAATTTTATATGATTTCTTTTAATAGTGCCACACTTTTGGATGTTGCCAATCCAGATTTCTTGGAAGCAGATTCATAGTAATTATATTAGTGCTACTGTTTTGAAAATATACAAATATAGTTTTTTTTAGTTCCATATTCTCACGTTTAATGTCTTCAATTGAATCATATTATCGTATTACACATTCCTTTCAACCTGAAACCAGCTACTTACAACTTCAGCAAGACGTAACTACGATTTAATTATCTTATACTGAGTATTTATTTTAATATTGTTATAGAGCTGCGGTCCGAACTCAACGGAAGTGGAAGTTATTGGTCAATTAAACTTTATACGAGACAAAATATTAGCTAAGGAAGATTTACACTTACATAATTATTTACTTAAACTGGAAATACCATTGCATATCTTTGGCATGTAAGCATAACATAATTTTAAGTGAAATAAACTGATATTCTCCAATATTGTCGAAGATTGACGCCAATTTTTCACATTAATATCCTTTACGAACCAATTAATGACTGAATTGCAGTAAAGAGGAGACTACTTCCACTTATTTGTATTTGGTAGAAAATAAATATACTTCGAAAACGCAGCCAATTTGACGGTATTCCTCCAATTGAGGGATTTGATTGAACCTAAATTAATTACTTTGCAAATAGTTCGTGACTTTAATCGTCGTTATTAAATATGTTAGAAACGAATATCTTATAGATCAAATAACCCAAATGAACCCAACTAAGCAATATAGGTTTAAACATATTTATTTTCTCATCCCCATGAGCGATAGTCACATTAAAGTGCTTCTATTTTTTTATAGACGTTGGTTACGTTTGCTGTTTGGACGAGAATTCCCTCTGCTTGATTTATTGGTGCTTTGGGACGCTATATTTGCGGATAGCGATCGTTTTGAATTACCGAATTATATATTAGTAGCGATGCTTATTCGCATACGTGATAAATGTATGTAAGACTAATACTAAAACAAAAATAAATGTAATACTTCATATATGTATACCAAAATCTTCAATGTATTCTACTTGTTCTTATAGTACTTCTCAGCGATTATACCACTTGCCTGACTTATCTTATGCGTTATCCAACGAATGTGGACGTTAATTTGATACTTCAACATGCACTACATATGCAAATGCCCAAGGTATAGTTCCATTAATATACAACATGAGTAACGATTTTACATTTAATGTACAATGTTTTATACATTTATATAGAAATTTGAAAGGCCACAAAATGCTTTCATTTATTTTACCATACCATCTGCCACGAAAAACAAGCAAGGCAATCCAGCAGGATTGCCAAGGCAATCGGCTGCAACAGGTGATGAAAAAATATCAAAATATATGGATTCTCAAGAAGAGAAACGCACGCGTGCGCGAACTACATCTGTAAGCAATGCGTTACGATTGGAGCAGCGAATAGCAGAATTACAAGCCAGAAATGCTGCTGATGCTGCAACTATAGCAAGATTAGCCACTAGTGCAGACTCTAATCGCATTATAATGGATGGTCTTTCCAAAAATGTACGCTGTTTTTCTATAGCATATTCCACTATAACATATTTTGTAATCTTTTATCTATTATTTATTTCTATATCTATTATTTTATTCATAATTAGAGTCCTGAAGTCCTTCAATTAGAATTAAAAAACGCTCGAACTGTTATCGCAATCGCGCATAGCAAGTTACAACTGTATTTGGACACAGTGCGCAAACACTTAACGAATCAAAACAATATTGAATTAAATCAAGCGCTCGACGGTATCGAAGAGCTTTGCAGTTTTCTGGATATCAAATTCATGTTTCCATTGCACGGACGTACGATCCCAATTGACAAAGCGACGGAAGCCAATGAAGCAAAAAGCGCCATAAACTTTTCATCTGAGAATGTGCCACCAAATTATGAAAACCAAGCAGTTCTAACGAATTTTGAAAACGGTATGCAGGGAACGGTCAACAGCAGCGCAAGCAATCCAAGTTCTGGAGAACAAACCAATAATTCAACAGGAGGCAAATTAACCAAATATGAGAGACCAGACAATAGTTTTATGTTGCGTTCGAACCGAATTTTGGGTCCCGTAAAAGATATTGAATTAATCACAATTGCAAGTGTGGAGAAAATTGTGGACCAACAGTTAGGTGATTCCCCTAAAGGCTGTTGCGAATTACTACAACAGCAAAAAGACAAATAGTAAATTGTCTATAATTTTTAAAACTTTATTATCTAATTTGACTGATTTTTAGCAATAAACCTTTTTAGAGCAGAGTATTTTTTAGATTGTATTCCTGTTTAAACATTAAAATAATGATAGGTCAGAACTTAATTCGTAAACAAATATACAAGAATTCTGTATTTATGTATGAATGCATATATACACTTTTAATAGTATCAAAAATAAATATAATGTATGAAATTATTTCGAATCAAAAAACAAAATTTATGCTTATGTAATATGTTAAAATTTTTTATTTCACATAATTTCTGGAATGGTGTTCTGCAATACATAATTGTTGTTACTTCATACCAGTGATAGTTCGCGACATAATTTACTTGTGTAGACTTTGATCGCTTTAGTTATAAAAAAAGCAATCTCTCTATGCATTGGTTCCTCCGCATTTTTAACAATACATCAATATAATTTTACATAATAACTGGAAAAAAAGATTTAATAAATATGACAAACATAACTGTTACCAACTTATAGTTCGAAAGAACTTTATACAATAACTTTAACTTTACTAATTAAAATTTCGCTCTTTCAAGCGTCAGTGGTCGACTTAGTACGTATCACACCATTTTTAAAGTTAAATAAGTTAGTTTGAAGAAGGTTTGATGTTGGCAGAGATGTAAGCTTAACTGGAAGCACTGCATTTTGTAACATAGACTCTAGACTTCGCGCACGCAAACCTGTGCTGCTTGCTTCAGTCATTTGCCGATCAGTTGGATTCAATTGATTAGAAGTTTGATTTTTACCCAAAATAATTGTCTCCGTTTCTTGGTTATCACCTAAATTTTCGATAGATTCTCCATTTGAAGTAATTCTTAATTGTTGTTCAGATGTCCTTACAAAACTGAGAAGTTTTTGGCTCGATGCCACTGGTGTCGATGATGAAGGTTTAGTAATATGTTTTTGTATACGCAGTTTCAATTTTGAATTAGGATTTACTGGTGACGCCGGTTGTCCTGTAAGTGGAATGGTACGAAAAGGTTGTATAGTGCTTATATTACCAAACGAATTATGACCATCAGAGTTGTTCATTAAATTATGATTTTCATTTTGGGTTATTGAATTTTCGTTTATGGTTGCTGTACTCAAGTTCTGAGAATCTACAATTTCTTGCTCGCGCTGCATTGCACGTACTTCAAGTTCATATATAATACTAGAAACCCGCACCTTGGCTTCAGCTGCTAAATCATTTGGAAGCTTTTTAACAGTTTCACTGACACTATCAAAAAACAAATCATAAGTATTTCTACTTGATTCTGATTTCGAAGAATTGGCATTTGTGCATTTATCTTTATATTTGCAAAGAATATTAATGGCATCATCTACGGATTGATGTGCTTCTGTGTACTTTCCTCGTTTAGCCATTATAGTTTCTTCTGTGTCTGAGTTCTGGATACGTTTTGGATTAGTTTGATAAATACTTCCGTCATCTTTCTCAACCCTTCAAAAATTAAATATTGAAAAATTAACATTATCAACAAAAACTTTTTATTTACTTACTTGATAAAAGGCTCTTCTAAGATTTGAACTTCGTCGTTAGTATCTATGTTTTGCATATTTTTCTTATGTTTGTCAGACTTTGGATCTTCAGGCATCAATATTTCACATTGCAATGATTCACTTATTATGTTATTCTCATTTTCCATATTATCGTAACTGAATTGATTTTCGATTTCTCTTCTATATACAACTTTATTAACTCCTCCATAATGTTTTTTTTCATGCTTCTTAACAGAATCCGAAGTAGGTACGAAAACGCGGTCGTTGCAAATAGTACAAAGGACATAATCAGGCTGAAGTTCTTTAGGATTGTATTGCACCCAAGGGTGATTTTTTTGTAAATGCATAATTTTTACTTTCATATTATTTATATCATTCGACTTTAGAGATTTAGTTTCAATACTCCGCTTAAAAACTCCAAGATGCAATTTGCTCTTACTACATATTTTCCGCGAAAATAGAATAAATAAAATATAGCGAAAGAAATAAAATACTAAATTCTTACCTCTTTAACTGATTTTTACGTTCTTCCAACAAACTACGCTTGACTCCCTGTTGGTGACGAGCACACTTTTCATGTTTGTAGCGAGAAAATGTAGGTAGCAATGGTACCTTACAATAATTACAATATATATACTGTGGATCGTCAGATTTTCGATAGCACTTGTAAACTCTGAACCATTCGTCGGACAGTCGTTTGATTCTCTTTTTTTGGTACCTAAAACATTATCGAAATTAGTTAACTAAATAACTTAGTTTTATAATCGTATATACGTTTTATAATCACTTTCTTCGTCCTGACTATCTTCCGAATTCTCTTCAGATTCGGAATGTGACACTTCATTATGTGTCTCATTCTTCATCTGATTGACACTTTCGTCTTTCATCTGATTGACAAGTTCGACTGGGTTCTGTTTACCATGAGCAATTTTTTCATGCACCTTCAATTTAGTTTCAGAGCAAGGATGGGTAATATCCTTGTTACAAACTTTACACAAAGCCACTAATGAGTTTTGCGGGTCATAAGAAATCCAGTCATACTTCTTCTGTAAGTCATCATTAACAAAGTTATTATTTTCAATAAACGACAACGTCTCATTTTTTATTTTATCAGCCGTTTTACTACAATTATAAAAATTCGTTAATTTTTATTAAAGGATTAGATATACCAAAACACTAACTCTGCAATAAATTCATCCTTGTGTATTAACGATAGAAATCTTAAATGATGACGTGTTCTAGTGTGTCTTTTGAAATTAATTCTTGTTATGAGATAATCACACAATACACAGTAACTCATTTTATTAGATTGTTGGAGGTTAAACATCCAATTTTTCCTAAAATAGAGCGCATATTTATAAAATATTATGATCTAATAGTTAAGAATATTACATAGTAAACACTTCATCACTCTCCACCGATTCATCGTCAGAAGGTTGAACTTCATCCTCTGTATTATAATCTACTTCATTTATGTCTTCATCAGCTTCTATTTCATAATTTTTAACAGCGTCTTTGTGTTTTTGCGATTTTTCATGACGTTCTCGTAAGTGAATATATTTTACATCAAATTTTAGATTACAATATTTACAAAATCCAATGGTCCCTTCCAAACGTTCAAGCCATTTATACGATTCGAACCAGCGATCCCAAATAAAATCAGAGAACTCCTCAAAATTGAATAACTCATTTCCTTTAGGAGGTCCGTTACCAGAATCGACTTCTTTACTTATGCACACATTCGAACTTAAGAAAAAATATATTATGTATTCAAAATTTTTAATAGCGTACCAAAAAATTATTCAATTACTTATTTAGTCCTTTCAATTTCTTGAACTCCAAATAATTTGATTCATACTCTTTATGAGAAATAGTGTTGCTGTGCTTATAAACCCTTTTGTCGTGCACTTTTGAATCACAATATGCACAGTAGTAACCTTTTTCTTTAGTCCAAACAATCCATTTATACTTTTTGCAAAGTGTATCCCAATTTTCAGAATATTCCTTTTCGTCATCGTTACAAATTTCATCGGAATCATAAAACGAATTTACTTCCTCATTATTTAAGGTTCTATCAGCATTTTGGATGTCTGTTTCCTCCAACAAGCCCATTGGGTCTGGAGATGCAGGTAGTTCATCCATTTCAGATTCGTTTATTACCTCTTGCTTTACAACGACATTCTCAAAACCGTCGGCGTGTTCAGTGGCCGAGTTGTCGTTGTCATCCCTACAAAACCATTTTTATTTATATTCGATGTTTAGGTTCAAACAAAATGTGAAATTGAATAAATAAATACTTAACGAAACAATTACTCACATCTTTTTTAATAAAATTATTATTTAGCAATATAATTTAACAAGATATCTCAAACCGCACCAATCCAATCCGCACTCTCGAAACACTACTTTCGCAATGACTCTGGAGATCGCACAAAATGCCGCTGAAGTTTTACTAGGGTTACCATAACTTTTTCTTGGAGTATTTGCTTATACCATACTGTAGGAGGAATATGTTTGAAAGAGAAATAATAATTATTGACTAATAATTAGTTGGCTATATAATCCGTATTCTTAGTGAAATATATTTTTTGGATTTGAGGAAATAATCAAAACTTATTTTTATGGCTAAACCAGAAAGAGATAATAAAAAAAAGAGTAAATAAAACATAATTTAGTGTGAGAACGGATAGAAAGAAAACACACAAATAAAACCTTTTATGAATACTCCGATAACTAAAATATATATAAATAAAAAAAATAATGCATACGTAATAATCTTTTAAATTAATCATATTTGTTATACATTCACCAATAACAAATGAATGATTAACCATGTGTTGTAAAAAGCGCTTGCACATATATGCTGTATATATATGTAATTTTTGCTAGTGACATCTTCTATTTCCCAAACATTCCCCTCTTCGATACATAGTGTTTCTATCGACATGTGTAGAAACTACTGTAAATCATTTTTTTTCATCAACTGTGTAATGTTATATAGGATATGAAACACATTTTTGAAAGTTCAATTACATTATTTTCAACAATAATTATGCAATTAAACCCTTATAAACAATTTTCCGTAAATGCATGTAGATCATTAAACTTAGCCAATCACCAAATGAAACTAGAACGCAACGCAGTGCAATACCATCAAAACATAGTACTTGTAAACCCTAGTATTCAAAGAATTCGTTTGTTTAGCGTCTCAGGAAGAAATGTTCCCTAAATACGTTTTATACTATTCTTAACATATGAATACCTGAAAATATGAAAAATTCTGCCATCCACCTCCATACCAAAAAAAGAAAAAGAAAGAAATTAGTTTCAGTTGAAGAAGGTATAAATTTTGAAAATTACTTTTTTTGAAATTAACAACTCCTATTCGCGTATTTTTAAAGTCCTTCCTTTTATTTCCATATTAAAGAAGAGAATTTATGGTAATGGTAATGAGATAGATAGATATAGTTTATATTTTTCTGTCGGTTATATACTTTATCAAAAAATCTATACATAATGTTTGACTTTGATAAAATGTGAAACATAATTTACGGAAATAGAAAATCACATTATTATTAATATTGCATTACATCACCTAAAATTTTGTTTTTGTGGGATCAAGCAGATTTTAGTCTGAAAAATCCTAGAATCAAAAATTTTTTTTGAAAATTGCTAGAGGAAAAAAGATTAATGTATATATATTTATCACTGCAAAACATTCCTATCTTCTATCGATATATGTATATATGTATGTATGTATGCTTCTAAATGATGGTTTTAAAAATACCAAATTTTTAATCATTGTCGCATGAAGACAATAGAAGGATTCCTGCTTATATAGTGAACATGTAAAGAAAGAGCTACACTGCTTATCTCACAAGAACGGAGCCACACATAAAGTAAGATCAGATGTGTGTACTATAGGACAAATGTAGAGGCGTACGTCGCCATTAAAACTGAAGCTGCAATAATAGTTCTTGTTGCAAGAGAGCCATTTCTGTCCGATGAATTTACAAGTTATACAGGATCTTAAGGAAGTATTAGATAGTCGTCAACGACTTTGGTAGCTTTCTACGTTATTTATGTCTGACGGAAGCCATATGAGAAGAAACATATCAATCATATAAATTCGTTGATTTTATTAAATCAGAATTTAATAAAACTTAGAAAATCAAAAAGAACTACATTGCTGCGGTTATTTGTATATTTCTTCGTCTTATTTAGCGCTACAGTTCATTGGGGCCTTAACCTATTTACACAACCTGCCTCCATTTGTTTCGATCTTCTGCAGTTCCTTTCCAATTTATTAATATATTTTTAAGTGGAATTTTATTTGTTTTTTATTTTAAACACACTAGTTACATTTTACACTTATGCTATTATAATATCATTCGAATTATATAACAATTACTTCAGCTAATCGCTTCAAATTCGTTATCATCCTCTTGGTGTTGTGATGAATGCATAACTAGTGGCGAAGTTACAAGATACGATCCTTCTACACTATTACAGTCTGGCAAAACTACTGTAGCTCCATTACTAGTTTTGATTAAGGATCCATTCTGTGTTTCGTTCGAATTACGCACTTCCAAATCATAAAGCAGTTGAGAAATACGCATTTTAGCTTCTGCAATAAGTTTCGGTGAAAAGGACTGTACAGTTGAGCTGACACTATCAAAAAACAGCTCTACATGATTTTTTTCTCTATGTGGAGAACTTGACTGATGTGTATGTGACCCTATCAATTCTCTGTATGAGTTCATCAGTTCATCTTTATCTTTTTGTATTTGCATAAGTAATTTCATGCGTTCTTTTTTAATACCCTGTTTTGGTACATTTTGATTTTTGAAACCATCGGTTAATGGAACTCTAGCTTCGTCACTAGATAAATTCTCATGCTTCATAAATGGTTCATTTGGATATCCAATAGGTGTTCCTTCGGTCTGAACGAAATGGAATGAAGTTTCATTTTCCAGCTCAACAGTACTAAAATGAGAAAGTTTTAAATAATTCGTTTTAGGCATTTGTTTGCTTATTTTTATACTCATCAATATAGTCATTTGCATCTAAATCTGCATCAGATTGTTGAAATGACTGTCCTGAAAAGTTCAACTTCTTACGCTGTTGGTAATATTTACTTCGCTCTTGACGTATGCTCAAATTTTGACGAGCAGCTCCTTCACCTTTGTTAATAAGTATTTCAAGATTGCGGGCATGCTTGGTCGTTCGTTCATGGCGTTGCAAGTGACAGCGATTGCAATCTAAACGACATTGACAAGCACGACAGAACGGCTTGTTGGGATCATCATCGCAACGAGTCAACCATGGGTCAAATATGTTTAACCATTTGTCACAAAACCTTTGCTGGTATTTCGTTTTTGAATTAGATGATTGAAACACTTCGCGTTTGATTGCAACTTTTTCAGACGTTTTTGATTTGGATGTTTTCCTACTTAAAATAATACAAAATTTGTGAAAAGGTACTAAAGTAATTTATTTTGTACCAGGTGCACACTTACCAGTCTGGATCAGAATCCTCACTACAGCTCATTATTAGCGGCTACACTTAATATTATTTAACTGATAAATATTTTTTATAAAATTGTATTTAGAAAGAAAAGAAATCTGCTTAAAATAAGACAACTAAAAATTAAGTTCCACTTTTAGGAATTGTTGTTCTCATGTTTGCACATACAGAGTTGCATTTTTGTAAAAATATTAATATTTTATAAGCTTGACGTATGTGTATCAATATATGCAGCTGTTGTTATACTATATGCCATACATAAAAATTACAGTAATTTAAAATAAATTCAGTAAAAACAAATAAATGCATCCATTGGTTTTAAAAATGAACTTTCGAAATAATCATTAAAAATTATTTGTAGCCGTTATTGATCAGCATTGCCTTAAAGTTTATATATTTACTTTTAAAACCAGATAATAATTAATATGCTAATTTATTACTTGGCTACAAAGGCCGTGCGAGTTCGAGTAAATTTATGGTAAATAGTAAATTATGTCGGTATGGCAGCGAATATTGGCATTTACCAGAATTTCGAGTAGGGTATATTAGATAAAAATTAGGTAAATTAGGTGTTACCATTGTCAAAATTTTGTAAGATGTTTAATAAATACATAAATAAATATTTACATAAGTGCAGTGCAAAAAATCCCTAAGAAATTTCAATTTATTCGAACTCGCACACGACCTAAATGGTGATGAACCGTAAAATTATTCCTACAAAACATATTTTTGGTAATGCTGTATTATATTATAGATGAATGAATAAAACAAAAGGGAAAAAAAACCAAAATGAATTGCTTATATATGAATAACCACTGTTCAATAACTTTATTTATAATTTGTATTTAATTTATTGTAAATATAATTATAAATAAAATTATAAGTAATATATATATATACATATAAATTATAAATATAAATTATAAGGTTATTGGTATAACATCATCACGTTATAAAACTAAACAAGGTATATGACTGAAAATATCAATAGTTTGAATAAGGGCCATCCTAAACACCAAGTCGTATCTTGTAAATCCAACCATACCAACTAAAAATCTTACCATTTCTCATAAATACATGCTCAACAGGTTGCTTCAATCATTATTGGAGGAGAAGAATGCACGTAGAAAACTAATTTGTAATTTAGGAATATAAGAAATTCAAAAAAATATTTAAATTTTATTAACGTATTAATATGCGCACAAGGGCATATTTTTGTCGATCGATATTGTAGATTTTTCGGCAATTTATTCATCATTTATCAAATAATATATGTATTATGTTTCAAACTCGTTTTAATTAGAAATCATTTTTATCCTTATACTATACTGCCTATCACAATCTGATTTTATAAGATTTATTAATACAAAGACATCGAGATCGTTTGAAACGAAATAACTCAAACTTTATTTAAAATTTCTTTTTTAACAATTTAATATATTTGAATACTTTTTAGTAATAACTTGAGTTTATGCGTTTTTTTCCGGATTTATTATGAGTTTGTTCCTGATTTATATTAAATAACACATTTTAAATGTTAAATAGTGCCAATGAAGTTTTTTGATGTTATATTTATATTATAAAACTAATTAATAAAATTAAATAGGATCTAATTTATATTAAATATACTCTGATTTGAGTTGCGTGTGTTATAATCTGTTTATTCGTAGTTGTGCGTCTTCGCCATAGTATAACGCTCACTGAATTTATTCTACGGTACTGAAAATAGAAATGAAAATTAATCAAATGAAACTTTTACTAATATTAACTGCTGTGTTTACTTACACAATACGCATAGTATTTGTAAATCCAGATCCTTGTTTCCATCCTGTTACTATGACAACTGAATCACCAGCCTTGATAAATCCATTCTTCTTGCCTACCTGTAAGCCGAATTGTACACGTACATCAACATCCTTCAGCCAGTCGGATAATGCAGGTTCTGAAAACAAAAACAAAATTTATAATTTCATATATCTCTTCTTCCATGTTAGAGAATTTGTTACCTGAGTAAACAACTGGCACAAGACCACGATATAAATGTGCTTGCCTAGCTGTTTGTGGGAAACGAGTAACTGCAACAATTGGGCAACGAGGTCTGTACTTACTGATCAAGTAAGCTGATTTACCACTTGTTGTAATAACAATAATAGCAGCTGCTAACGCTTTAGATGCAGCTTCAACGGCAGCAATAGCTACGGCGTGAGCAGCATCCAATGACGAAGTGTTACCTGCACGTACCAAATCCGCAAATAAGTTTCTATGCCACAAAGCAGCTTCTGCTTCTTTGCATGTTTTTGCCATTGTTAACACACATTCCAAAGGATATTCACCCTTGGCAGTTTCGCCAGACAACATAACACAGTCAGCGCCATCAAGTATAGCATTGGCTACATCAGATATTTCGGCACGAGTTGGACGTGGTTTCTTTACCATTGATTCCAACATTTGAGTAGCACAAATAACTGGTTTTCCTGCTTTATTACAGCGTGCAATCATAGCCTTCTGTGCCAAAAATACTTTCTCCGGTGGAATTTCAATACCTAAATCTCCACGTGCTACCATTATACCATCAGAAGCAGCAATGATTTCATCCAAATTATGCATGCCTTGTTGATTTTCAATTTTAGATATAATCTTAATACTTTTGCCCTTATCACCAAGCACTTTACGAATTTCGGTAAGAGCGTCAGCATTACGAATAAAAGAAGCAAAAATCATGTCAACTTCCTGTTGAACGCCGAATTGTAGATCGGATTTATCCTTCTCTGATACAGCTGGCAAATCCACTGGTACACCGGGTAAGTTAACACCTTTACGAGACCCTAGGGACCCACCGTTTTCAATTTGACAAACAATGGTATCTTCACTAACATCCTTAACAATCAATGATATGAGACCATCATCAACAAAAACTCGGTTACCAGGCTTCACAACATTAACGATGTTAGCGTAATCAACATATATGCAATCTTTATTACCCTTCTCCATATACTCCTTGCTTGTAGTCAATTTTATTGTATCATTTTTCTTAAGTTCAATTTCTGCAGTACCACTACCTTCAATTAAACCTGTACGAATTTCAGGACCTTTAGTATCCAAAGCAATAGCAACTGGATACTCATAGCCAACCTTAACGGAGTAGTTTTTGGCAGCTTGGCGAACATTAGCTACAGTTTCAGCATGATATTCATGAGAACCGTGCGAAAAGTTCATACGAGCAATGTTCATCCCAGTTGCCATCATTTTTTCCAACATTTCAACGCTGCGTGACGCAGGCCCAATAGTACAAATAATACCCGATAAACGTACATGTGGTACAGGTGAATCGAATTGCAAACGGCACATGTGCTCAAGTTGAGATTCAGCTTCGGCGGCCATCATTTGAGGAACTTCTCCCATCTAAATACATATAAAAACATTGTTAGTAAAAATCGTAACTATCTCACACTCATACATATTATACAGTTAATAGTTATAAAATTAGTAAATGCGCAGATGGTTATTATTGATAGATTAAAATGTATGAAGTTGAGATGTGTGAAGTGTAAGTTAATAATGAATTTATCAACGAAGACAGATGTAGTTTTATATATTAATGAAACCATAAGTCCGAGTTCTATAGAATTTAATGATGAAATCATGAAAATTTATAACTTAAGTTTATATATGTATGTGCTATTGCGATTATTAACCGCCCGAAAATGAAGACGGGCACTAAAATTTTATAAGTCCGACCATAGATCTAAATTTTAAGAAAAATTTGGTGTTAAAAGTGACAACCCCCGCTGTCGTATCATAATTACTGACAATCTTAAATCTTAATCATAAAAGTACTTAAATTTTATTGATTTTTAGGCTTACAGAAAATATTTTTTTTTTTTTGGCATGTTGGACAAAATAGAGCGAAAGAGGGTGAGGTACATTCGTATTAAGCTTTCAACGTTAGCCAAAAATATGTGCAGTATATAGTTTTCTTTGTATAAAATTGGGAAGCAATTGTCTATTAAAATCTCGCTCTTGCGTCTGAATGCAATTGCATAACTTTACATATCATATATTAACGCTTATGTACATGCATGTATGTAGGTATTTTTGCAGCACACTGAGGCATGCACATTGCTCTACTTTTAAATTGAAAAATAGAAATGAAATAGCCCAAATCATGACCTTTTATGAAGGTTAGGAAAATTGTTTCCTTATCCCACTTCATATAAAAAAAACTTTTATCATTAGCGCAACGTCAATGCTCGTTGTGTAATCACAAAGTGAAATGCATTTGTTCTTCCCTTCGATAGGAAGGGAATTCGTAATTTATCAAATACCTTTAGTTTCGGTGCCTCATCGTAAATTGTTGCGTGCACCATTCTGGACAACAAATTATAATTCGTCAACGAACTTTTCACTGGAAATTTTGTCGCTACAACGTAGCGTTTTCTGTCGAAAAAATGTCCTACTAGTGATAAAAATCCCTTTTTAGGGATTAATTCGCCACACACAATCCAACTAATTATGCGCTGTTTTTGCAAATTAATAAATTATATTACTTAATAAATAAAAAAATCACTACTTAGTGTTCACAGTTCACAATTGTTTTGATTTTATATAAATTTCGATATTATTTAAATTTATAACAGATTTTGAACGCTTGACGAAAACGTCAAGGCAACTGTGTAATAACAAAGTCCGAACGCAAGTGAGAATTTGCTCGGTGAAAAATGTTCTTGCTGCGCTTTGGATAACTTTTATTCTGTTAAGATACCAACAACAACAATGATAATAATAACAACAATTAGTACACAACAAATTTGCGTATACAGGGTATACACGTACCCGGAGCAAAATGCATGTTCTGTCGCATTAGAATAAAGGGTTGGGGGAATTTTTTTTTAATAACAAATTCTTGCTGCTGCAATTTTAGTTTTGTTAATCATAAAATGTTATTTAAAAAATATCAATTTCAATATGTTTTCACCTGACCATGAAAAATAAATCGATTTGTAAAATTGTACGAGAAAGCTTTTCTCTCTTTTAAATAAATAACATATGTACACAACAAAGAAAAAACACAATAAAAGCAGTGGCTGTGTGTGTCATTTCTGTTTAATTAAGGGTTAAATTTTTCTAACAAATAAAAAAAATATAGTCAAAAAATTTTACAGCAGTTTTAAAAAAAGGTATGTGGAAAAGTTTATACCAAGTGTTATCTGATCATCTGATGTTATCATATCATAGTCAAAACAATATTTAAAAAAAAGTTTATTTGAAGAATGTTTAAATAATTACGTATGCTCTATATAAATAAATTATACAGATATTTATATCTGTGTTGTTTGTATAACAACTGATTATTAATAAGGTGTCATTTACTTGTTAACAGACGACCGTATATATGTATTGCATCTATTTTGGAATACGATCATTAATCTGCAATTGTGAAATTTAGAAAACTCGATCTCCTGATATTGCTAATCAACTGCTGATTACAATTATAATAAATCTCGTGCTACAATAGTAATAAATTTGTAACAAAATAATATTAACATATTGGATTAAACTCATTAACGCGGTAAACTTTTAGGTATTGTTTTTATAAAAATATATCGCTATCAATTTACACAATAATAGATTTCTGAAAAAATCTTTCATTATCGAGGAAATCAATAGCTGATTCGTTGTTCAGTATACTTTTCAATGAACTTGATTCTTTCAAAATCATTGCTGATTTACTATTTCTGAATTTTACAATATGTACAATATTAACTATATTATTATATATTAATTAACTATATTATTTTTAAAAAAAATAAAGGAATACATGGTTTATTACTTAAATGAATACAGAGTTCAATCTGAATATCAACATCAGTATTTTTATATATATTAGAATATTATTGCATAATCAGCATTTTTACCTAAATACTGTGAAACGGTTAAGTGTAATTAAGTTTAGCACACACAAATTAAACAATTTTACCCATGTAACAAAATATATGTGTAAATTTGTTAACTACCAATAATTTAAATGAAAACTACGTAGTGGTACTATTTAGAGCTGAATATATATTTTTGTTGTTTTCTAACTGGTAGGAACTAATATGTACTTACTGTAACAAGAAAAGCATCGGCGTAACAAACAAGTGTAATCTGTTTGAAGAGGTGCTCAGTATTTTAAATAATCTAGATAAAAATGACATTATCTTTACTATGGATATATATGTTAGTTAACCCTTTCATATATTTATATATGTCTATTATTTTCGAAAAGAACGCCCAGATTTTTATGGTTTTTCACTAGAAACACGGTTTAATCCATGATAATTTAGTGTTACGCAAATTTTATATTATTTAAAATTCTGGCAATTTATGGTAAAGTTTCAATTTTTTTCATTTCACACTCCAATAATACTACTTTGTAGTAAAAGTTGGTTGATTATTTCTTTCTAAAATTGTTTAAAAAAAAATATAATACAAATTGTGTTATAAAACTGATGGCCGCCGTTAACTATCGATTAATTGTTTTATTAAGGCCGTGTGCGAGTTCGAGTAAATTGAGGTAAAATAAATTAAAATTTCCTAGGGATTTTTTTGAACTGCACTTATGTAAATATTTATTTATTGCACTTATTTATTATTTTTGTTTCAAAGTTTTCAAATTTATTTATTTGATATCTCATAAAATTTTCACAATGGTAACACCTAATTTACCTAATTTTTATCTAATTAACCCTACTCGAAATTCTGGTAAATACCAACATTCGCTGCCATACCGACATAATTTACTATTTCCCTCAATTTATCATAAATTTACTCGAACTCTCATACGGCCTAACATATTAATAGACTTACAAATATTCCGCTGCGAATACAAATTCTTAGTAGAAGCTATATGATTTTTTTTTTTTTGTTTTTTGTTTTAAATTACAAAATTCTTCATTTTTTCTTTTCCGATAAAAGATTCATGTTTACATTAATTTAACCAATAATCACCCACGTCAAATAATAATTGTTAATAAACGAACAAAAATATTGATCGCTGTAAGGCCATTTCCAGATGAATTAACAACAAATATTTCATACACCTTAGCTTGGTACGTGGGAACCTAGCTTGTTTTATATTTTCTTGTGATTACACAAATTTAAACGTGACATTCACCTCCTTGAAAATTGTTAAAATATAAAATATATATGAGTAATTTTGAATGTATCCCACATATTACCAGATTTTATATCATTTGCAATTCTAGAAACAGTTTAAATCTGATTGGTATAAAAAAACCAAAATGTATGGCTTAATTGATTCATGTCATTAAGTATAATACCTTCACTGAGTTACAAATTATTCTATTAAAGCAGGTTTTGTTTAATTTCAAACATTTGGAGTTCATTTTTTATTGGTTAGTACTGCTAACCATGATCACCCATCGTCATGATCACCTCACCTAGTTGTAGAAATTGTTCTAAGAGAGTGTAAGTATACAAATACTAATTGCTGGAATGAATAGGATTTTTTTGCTTAGGCGCCAATAAAAAAATCACCACCTTGTATATACATTATATGTAAGGTTGTTTCTAATTCACTACCATAGTTATTAGGACTTCGGTACTGATTACTTTATATAAGACGGAAGCAGAAGAAATCATAATGTTCAGAACTTAGAATCTACCAAAACCAATTTGATTTTTCACTAAAAATGATGTAATTAAATGTTATGTGATTCGTATGTTAATGATTATGAACATTGGAATATGTGTGAGTAGAAGCACTTAATTATAAGTAAAATAAAATAAAAAAAATAAAATAAAAAAAATAAAATAAAAAAAAAAATAAAAAAAAAAATATAAATAAATAAAATAAAAAAAAAAATAAAATAAAAAAAAATAAATAAATAAAATAAAAAATAAAATAAAAAAAATAAAATAAAATAAATAAAAATAAATAAAATAAAAAAAAATAAATAAAATAAAAAAAAAAAATAAAATAAAAAAAAATAAATAAAATAAAAAAAAATAAATAAAATAAAAAAAAAAATAAAATAAAAAAAAATAAATAAAATAAAAAAAAATAAAATAAAAAGAATTTTAAAAATCTTGCCAATTTTAAAACGCCAATTAAAAATTATTAGTGTTTCGCTGGATTAGGTTAGTCCAACAGCGCAAAACTGAAATTTTATAAATAAATTAAGAAGTATTATAAAAAGTGTTATAAAAATTAAATGAGATAATTTAACCAATATAACGAGCACACAAAGATAAATTCAAAACACAAAAAAAATTCATCTCTACTGGAAAAGTCAAAAGACGCACAAAGCAGGTATCATAAAAACAAATTACGTATCATTATTTAAACAAACAAATTTTCTAATAAAACATTATAGAACTATGTATGTAAACAAAAAAGTTTTTGTTGATGACGCTACTGGGCACAGCTGCTCACAAAAAAACCTAATTAATTGCAGATAACGTAAGCCGGTAGACAACCCATTTTGCCATATGCTTTGTAAGCATGTGTGCGCGGAATTATGACCTTCAAATTGTGCACTAACAAAACAGCTTCACGCGACAGAGCTTGGAAGGTTTATATCGTTTTGTGCATGTAAAAGAGGGACAACGAAAACGCACACCATCATGATTTATCTTGATTAATTCTACTCATTTTAAAAGTATTGCAGAAGCTGCAAAAATAAAAAATTGATAAACATGCGCAATAATCGTGATTTGAAAAGCTCTGTGCTTTAGGGTGGAGGGTGGAAGTTTTTTTTTAACCAATAATATATTTTTGGAAACGTCATCATAGAAAGTAAAAGCCGTTTATATCGCAAACTAAATGACGTGAATGTCCTTGAACTTCACACAGAGGACATTCACTTAACATTTACTACTTGCTATTTCTAGTAATTCCTAATTCAACACTTTCAAATAAAAAGAATTTCCAAATTTAACTTAATTGTTGAGTCATTTTTTAAATATTTATTCAACTGATAATGACAAATTTTGGGGAACACTAGACGCAATCATTTAATTATTTATTTACTGTTGTTAAGGTTAAAATTGCTCGAAATTGTGTCGTCAACGCTGCTGTTATGAATAAGTGATAACGAACGGCATCGTTCGATTTACAAAAATATAGCAATTATTGCATGCATTGTAACTTTAACAAAATTTCCTCATCCGATGACTGTAAGCGCAGCAATAAAATAAAAATTCGTTGACTTTTATTTCACCTCTGCGTACGTATATGCTTAAACATATCCAACCGCAAAATAGCCAACACAACTCACTAATTTATTACTTTGAACACTTTGTGTGAAACAAAAAAAAAATAATAAAAAATCCAGAATTTCTATTTTTTGTATCATATTTCACAAAATACAACACATACACTTATATCTTATTACCTTGTGTAAATAAATGCTTAAGTTTCACGAACAATATAAAATCTACAACAAATCAACCACTTCAACGATACTCCGAAACGCACCTATTGCCTCAAATGCTGCTTGAGAACTAACCTGAAGTCAAATTCGCATTCCATGAAATGCGGAACTTTTTCAATAGCACTACAATTGGGAAGAGTGAAATTTTTGTCCAGTGAAACGACTTAAAAATGAGCTACAAGCGCTTTTCATGTTGAAGTTATGTATGAAAGCATGATATGAGCTTTCATTTATTATTAGGTGTGAATTTTTCGTTCATAATGCAAAATTACCTGTGACAAAGTTAAACCAGAATTCTTAAAGGATAAATTGAGCAAAAACTTCTGTAATAACCATGCTTTCACTGCCTAGAAATTTTGTTGCAACAATTTGTTTTATAAATAATAATATATATTTAATGCTATGGATAAACTATTTTCCTTAATTCTACACATATGCCAAAATTTTGTATGAATTTGGTTAAAAATATACTGAAGGAGTTCGATAAGTTTAAATGTAAACATAATAAAAGGCAGATCTTTATGATTTATGGTGTCAACTGCATATTTTTGATAATCTAACAACCATATTATCAATTATAAAAAGAGATATCCTATATTTGATATAGGAATCACAATCTGTAAAATTTAAATAAATATTATCAATTTACTGCAATAACCCACAGTCGAAAACGTTTTTTTTTTCGTATACAGTATGTCACTAAGTAATTTAAAAGTGATCTCACAGTACAAATTTTTATTTTTTGAATTTTAACCTTATGAAAAGTCTCTTACTAAAGATAGTATATATAGATAGTAATTTCATATAAAGAAAATATTGACTAAATATTAATATTAAATCAATGAAATACTACAAAAGACGCAGCAGTCATCAAAACTATTTTGAAAACATTTTCTAAGGAAACCAACAAGAAGTAGAATAGTAAAGTAGTAAATACATGCCCAATTTGATAAGAAGGCATAAAAAACCTGTTTAGGATAATAACTGTTATGCTGAAGTTCCAATGATTTATATGTAGTATATGATGTCAGCATTGTTTTCGGCCTGTCTTTATAATATCAATATTAATTTTGTTAATGAAATTTAATATTATCTAATGAAACACTATATCTATGCTATATCGTAAAAATTAATAAAATAACTTATGAAATGATTTGTGGAGTCACAACTAAAAGACATTTATCACATTTAAAACAAATAATTATTTTATATAACATTAGGTGTATTCTTTTGACATGAAAGCAAAAAAATACACGCTTAAAACTTAAAATGCAAAGCAAAAACAAAATTCGCAATAATAAGTCTACTTTTCTGAAAATTCTTAACGAATAATAGCTTCTGCACTACAATGCTGCCAAGTCTTAAAACTGATCTATTGTTAATGATTTTTGGAAAAAAATGGAAATCTCTAGATAGCTGTTTATTATTTAAAACTGTTTCGAGTGTTAATGAGTAAATTTAAATATTTTAAAAAAGTAATTTTATAATAAAATTTGTGAAAATGACTGACAGGTTAGTAATTGTGAAGAATCTAATTATTTATTAAGGAATTTTTTATTCCTGTGTTCTTACATGAACAAATACAATACACAATCATTAATATAAGAGCAAAAAGTTACAAGCCAATTGAAGAAAAATAAAACAATGTTGAATACTGCTCATTTAGCATTATCTAGTTATGTTGGAAGTTTGAAAATTAATTAAACGAATATAACCGCAATCTCGTGTTGCCTATATGTATATTTATATAAAGAACTTTTTCATAAAATTTAACCCCAAATTTGATTGACTTTTTCTTACTTGTCATATGTTTACTGATTTAGGCAGTGATGCCAATTTATTTTTAAGTACCAAAAGTTGTTTTATTGGAATATTCATGTCAAAAGAATATACCTATTAATAAACTGAATCACAAAAATTAATATTATTTTATTATCTCTGAAGGCACATTATATATATAACTTGGCAACCCTACATATATTTTACGCAGAAAAAACTTTATTTATAGTCAAAACTTATGTTATTATGAGAATGAAAACAAAGTGCGTGCGTTTTCTCAGTTGGTATTTTCTCTCATTTTTTTATTAAGTACTTTTGTTAATTACACTTAGCATATTTATATGCAATAAATTAAAGCTTATTTATCTATCAGTTAACGTACTTAAATGCATTTATGACAATAAAATACATAAACAAATAACAATAACGTTTATATTAGGTATATTAATCTAATCGTAACAAACATATATGTACATATGAATGTGTGTACGTGTCCATTCGTTAACATATGGCGTATTATAAATATTATGAACGTATTTTTAGTTCAGTTATAAATTTGTATGTGAAAAAGCCGGTCCAATATTTTTTAGTATTAAAACAAAATATTTTGTGCAAGCCTGTATAGCTGTTATATGAGGTGACATCACGTTAAGCACATGGGAATATACTTATGTGGATATTTATAACATATTTTACTAAAAAAACAACTCAAAAACTACTTGTTTTCTATTCTGCCGTCCTACATTCAGCTTTTTTCGTTGCCTTTTAATTTGACATTTGAGGAACAGAAAAAAGCTTTCTAAAAGCTCAATACTTTGTGAACTGCGTACAGGTGCGGTTTATACTGATAAATATTTTTCTTTATTTTTTGTTGTGAATTTTAAAATTATATTGTGTTCTATATATTTTAGAAAAATAAATCTAAATGCATCCCTCGAAAAAGTTCATGGAATGTTTGCAGTTTGCAGCTGTGAAACACAGAAATCAAAGACGTCTTGACAAGATAAAGACACCTTATATCAATCACCCCATCAATGTAGCTACTATATTGTCCATTGAAGGAGGAGTTAACGATGAAGTAGTGCTAATGGCAGCTTTGCTACATGACACTGTGGAGGATACGGACACAACTTTTGAAGAAATTGAATGTCGTTTTGGGAAAGAAATTTGTAACATAGTTCGCGAAGTAACTGGTAAGTACAGGGGCTACAAAATGTATTGCATATTCATTGTATATAAAGTTATAAAGTAATTCAGAAATCAGATATTGATATTATCTTCAGAATTCACGACTTTTTTAATAGTGTCAATGAATGATAAATTAATTAAATATTTTAAACATTACAAACGCAAAATACTATATACACGTTAAAACAGTATTAACCGTTTATTATTTTAAACTAATACGCATTCGTATAAGTAAATATAATATTTACAATATATTTCGATAAAAATAACAGAAATCGAATAGCTAAATTCTTGTATGTGAAAAATTGCATATGTAATTGGCTATATTTTTTCCACTAAATGAATATATTAATTAGATATATATTCATTAGTGCAGTTTTTTACCGACAATTTAATAATCGTCGACCACCACAATTGTTGTCGCTTTCAATTTAAGTTTAAAAATTTGAAACCATTGAAAACCAGTTTGACTTCAATTAAAATTCCACTCACCCCCAATTCATTTTGATCCTAAACAATCCCCTTTCGTCTTACACTACCGTAACCTACTAGCATACGTTTGATAAATCTCAAAGGGTCGTCACATCAACAACACCCATTTGAGCACTTGCATAGCATGGCCCTAAACGATCCAAAAACATCTATGAAAATATAATAAATATTTTTACTTATCTAATATTAAGTAATATGCAATTTTTGATATTAACTTAGACATTTTTTTATTTTTTACTTGCAGATGATAAATGCTTAGAAAAGCAGGAACGCAAAAGATTACAAATAGAAAAAGCTGCTGATACAAGTCCTAAGGCGAAGTTGGTGAAATTGGCTGATAAATTGGATAATTTAAGAGATCTTAGCTCTAACTTGCCAATAGGATGGTCAGAGGTAAAGCTGATCTCTGTACTTATTATTTGCAATACTTTATTTTCAATTTATAGGAACGTCGTGATGAGTACTTTATTTGGGCCAAAAAAGTTGTGGATAATTTACGGTGTACCAATACGCAACTAGAAAATTTATTAGATGACATTTTTAGACAACGGGGATTGCTATAACATTCAATCGAATAAAAACAAATAAAAATATTATGTCAAAAAATATATGGAATTATTTGTTATTGTTTTCATAGAAATTTAACATTAAATTTGCCAAAAGTTTGGTTTCGGCAACAGTCATTGCGTTATACAGAGAAGCTCTAATACCACCCACTGAGCGATGCCCTTTTAGTTGAATCATGCCCTCATCTTCAGCTTGGCTTAAAAATTTCTTCTCCAATTCTTCGACGCCTGTAATGTTACCGATACGGAATGGTATATTCATGCGCGACCGTACTGCAGTGTCGACTGGGCAACTATAGAACCCGTTAGATTTATCGATTACATCATATATAAGTTTTGATTTAATTTCAGCATTTGTTGCCATGCCAGCTAATCCGCCATTCCTTTTCACCCACTGAAATACAAGTCCCATCACATATATACTGTAAATGTAGATTAACGTAAGAATTTTACATAAAAATTTTTAATCTTAATTTTTTTAATTACCCAAATGTTGGTGGTGTATTCAACAAAGACTTTTCTTTGTCCATGAGTGAAAAATTTAAAATTGAGGGTGTGTTCGGCATGTGATGACCAATCAAATCTTCTCGTATGATAACTACAGTTGTACCTGCAGGTCCAATATTTTTTTGCGCACCAGCAAAAATGACACCAAACTTGTTAACATCTATGGGACGCGAAAGAAAATTTGAGGACATATCGCACACCAATGGTACACCATTTGCGATTTCCGGCACAAAGTCAAACTCAACACCGTGCACTGTCTCATTATCGCAATAATAAACAAAAGAGGCATTTGGATCTAATGTCCAGCTGCTTTGTCTTGGTACACTAGTATAGTTAGACATTTTGGGTAAGACTAAGTTAACTTTGCCATATTGTGCAGCCTCTTTTGCTGCTTTTGCTGACCATGCACCTGTTACCACATAGTCTGCAGTTCCTGTACGACCCATGAGATTAAGACAAACTGCAGCGAATTGTCCGGTTCCACCCCCTTGCATTAACAATATTTTATAGTTATCAGGAACATTGAGTAATTCCCGCAAGTCATTAATGGCCGCATCCTGTATTTTTGCGTAGTTTTGCGAACGATGCGACATTTCCATAATGGATACACCACTACCATTGCAGTTAAGTAAACTTTCCTGTACGCTCTTCAGCACCTACAATTAAAAAGTCATACGAAAAGTCATTAATTATAAAAATTATTCTGTTTTTGATTGTGCGAAAACAGTCAATAACCTCTTCTGGCAATTTCGCCGGCCCCGCACCAAAATTGATAACCATTTTACGACACGTTTCTTATGTTTAGTCAAGCCACAAAGCAAACAAATCGCACAACTGACCGCAGTGAACTGAATTTTTAATAACCGGAAAAAATCGAAGACTCCGAGATTAAGACTGAACGAAATCACGTAACTGTCAGCGAGGCGAGTGAGCGCTTGTGTTGTTGCAACGAAGCAAAAATATTAAAATGAACTAATTTATGCACTGCCTGAAATGCTGATATGTCGCTATGCAAGGCACCTTCATTTCGAAATACGTACTCGCCGACTAGAACAAAGACCAGAACAAAAACAACTTTCTGCTTTGCTCATAAACAAGAGCGAAACGAGATAATTTAATCTGTGGTATACGAATTGAGATAATTCTATATCTCTAATGGAAGTGTGGAAGCCTACTTGGCAATTGAAAACAGACTGGAAGTTAAGCTTAAACTGAGAGAAATACCCAGATGCCATGTACTTTATCAGTTGTGATAATGTATAAGCTTCAATTTCATAAATTAGACATATATACATACATATATGCATAATATATCTCAGACAATTAATAATCTAACCAATAATTTCCATAATAGATTTGTTATTAATTATTTGTTTAAAACTCATGTATCAAAAATAGAGTTCACGAATTTTAGGCTACAAATTCTAATTCTAGGAAATACATATGTACACTTAAACAAATTATTGGAACTTTATGTCCTAGTATGCAAAAAAAAAGTATCAAACCAATATATACATATGTATTCAATTTATACAAATCGGATGGCATTGATCATGTGCGTGCACATATTTTGTGTAAAAAGTACCCAGAATTTTTAAATAAAACACAGAAAAATCATCAATCGATCGCTTCTGCGCAAACCCCAAGTACAAATTAACTATGCCAGTACTGAACCTAATCCTCCACACATATTTTGCAGGTTGAGTGGAGTATGACCTCCACTTCCAACGCAAATTTTTTTTCCCCACTCGACGTGATATAACGACGACTTTAAGCGATTACTGAACATTTGAAAGTATATTTGCAAAAAAGCTGATGTAAACACACTAAGCAACAGATCGCACTTAAATTTAGCGTGCGAACACAATACTGACAAGTGCTTCCAATTTACAAAAAAAAAAATTATCTCGTATCTTTTAGATGTGTTTTTCTAATTAAAAATACTTTTTACACATAATCAATTATCATTAATTGCTTTTGAATTGCTTCACTTCTTTTAAGCAATTAAATAGTGCTTTTTCCAAGGCATGGCTTCATCACTGTTCTTATCTTTCCATCAATCGGAGCAGGTTAGGCTGCAATGTAGCTGGCTATAGTAACTAGAAATATAAGTAATATCGAATGCACCAGAAGCACTAGGCACGATTGAGTAACATTCGTTAGCAACTAATATTCAATATAATTGGACACAAATAAGAGACTTTAGCTATTGTTGGTTCTAATTGTTGCTTAATTATGCGTTGGGTATATGTCTCTGTTCACATTGGAGAGCGGACGAAACGGAGAATTAATTTGTATTAGAAATATTGTCTAACTAAGAACAATTTTTTATCTTGTTAAAAATCTGTAAACAATATAAATACATTTTCAGTTTTAAAATGAAAAAATAACCTTAAAATATAAAATCCAAGCCTAAAGTTCAAACGTTCAGATCATACAATAATTTCAAGTATTATATTCCACGTTATATTTCCGAAACTAAAATTAGTTATAATTTAATATGTAGCAAGACTGAAAACAAACTATATATATATAATAATATTAAACCAAAAAACTTTTTCCTATTAAAAGAAATTGTTGTTTTTTTATATACATACATTTAATTTACATATTTACACTCTAATATTTTTATGACAATTTTTATTTATTCAGCTTGAACCTTTCCAACAATGTCACTCCAGAATGTACCATAGTCTTGAAGAACGGTGCCGCTAGAAATATAACAAGAGTATTATATAATTGATGTATATGCATATACATATATATATAGTAGTATATAAGTATTGAATCAATTATTACTTCGAGATACTAACTCAACTTTTCAGTAGACCATATAAAATAGTTTATTAAAGGGTTAATAGTTTATTAAAGACTTATGAAGTTTTAATTTTAATTGCTTTGAAAGCGTTTATACTATTTTAGACGCAGTAACAAGGCTTTAATCAGTTTGTGAATATTATTGAAACAAAATCTCTTTAATAAGAATTTCCAGCATGAAGTAAAGGAATATTTGTTCATTATTCAAACGTGATTGTAACTAACGGTAATCATTTACTTATTTCGACGATTGTACTCAACATTTGCAAATGTTAGAATAGCCCAATTTCAACTAAGTTTAACGATATAAACTTTCTAAAAGTAAGAAACTTAGCCCGTTTAAAGATAATAACTCTCGCTTTAAATGTTTGAGTTTAATATAATTTTTTATCAACAACAAATAAAAAATGATTGTGCAAAAGTGTCTCCAATGGTTTCTTGATTTAGTTTTAGTGTGAAGTTTTACAATTTGTGTAGATTTAGTTTTGCTAAATCTCAGAGCTCATCATGATTATAATAATCTCATTGTTAATATGTAATCAGTACAAAGAAAATATTAGACATTATAATCCCATATTGCACCGCATCCCTAATTGTAATATGTTGCTCATAGTATTAACATATGACTATCCCTATTACCTACATGAAGTACATCAAGTTCCAAGAGTTTTTATTTATATGCTATTACTAGTAAAAGAAGGTTTCTTTATCAAGGTTTGTTTTCTTGATCATTTTAGAAGCAATAATCGCTTAATGATGTTCAATAAGTTCTAATCTTTATCTTTTAAGTGGATCTTTATCTTTTTTTTGCTAGTCTTAGCAAAAAAAATGATTCCTAGGTCTATAATTAATCTTTGTGTTATAACACAACACTATTGTAAATAAATTTTGATTAAGAATTAATTAAAAATATTTCTGCAGTGAGTTACTGGAGTTTTTCCAGTAATTTAGTATGATTTGTTTCTAAAATACTAACGAAGAAAAGTTTAAGGTCCAATATTTAAAACAAAAAATAATTTTTATATGACAGAAAATGAGTTTCTACTAAATCAACGAAGCAATGGAAGAGCTGCAAAGATTGAAATCTTCTTTCTCAAATCAACGATCCATTTAATATTTCTTAAACCAGTAATTCGATAAGTTACTTCGTGTACGAGGGAAATAATCCAAATCTGGCGGTGCAGCATTTGCTGCAGTAATTGGAGTTTCTTTTGCGAAACTAAATTCTGAAAATGGCTTCATCGTCATTGATTAGTCGCTGCGCCAATTGCGATCTGAAGTAACTTCGATTGCATGATGTTGCATGTTGGATGTTGGGTATTGGGTATTCAATACAAATGAGTTTAATGGGTCATTAGTAAAGTATTTGTCGTCTTGAAGTAAATGCCATTTCAACAGAAAAATCGTAAACGGATCCGTTAATTAAAAACACGTACAAAGCACAAATAAATCACGGATGTTGAAATCTTGTTTATTTTATTTCAAATTTGGTAAATTGATTGTGAGCGAGCCCGAACTATAAATGGATTTGTAATTTTTTATCTTTTGCCATTTGTATTTCGTTTTGCTTATGCAATTTTATCGATTGTTAATTGAGTTTTTGATGCTTTGGAGTTTGAAGCGAAGAAAAAGAGAGAGATAAAAATGACGGTCTGGCTACAACATGTAGTAAAAAAACAACAAATGTTAGGCTACATTAAGTTATCAATATAGAAGCTGAAGAAGTTGAGGTGTTCACTTCACTGATGACTGATGACTGATCACTAATGACAGATGACAGATGGAAAGCTGAAAAAACCTTGGTAGAACATTCGAGTAGAATTTTATACCGGATTTTTTTATATTATATTAGCTGCACATATTTTTCGTTTATCAAGGCATACTATACAGAGTCGAATAAGTAACTTATTTTGAGTTCTATTTTCTCTCCAAGTTAGGTGAGAAATACAATTATTACTATTCCTTATGATATGGTAAAATTTTTAAATTCTATAAAAAACTTACGTGAAGTAAACGCGACCACGTTTATGTTGCGGAGCTTTCCATATGAATTTAGCACCCAATTTGTCTCGATTATCTGAATGTGTTATAGCTGAGCACTCTGGAATGGAATTTGTATTTTCGCTTTGTATAAATTCACCAATCCATTCATTTGATTCCACATCACGGCCCTGTATGAGGAAACCGCGGAAAAGTTTATTCTGATCACGAGGATAAATTACAACTGAAAGTAAACGCGTTCAAAAAATAATTAAATTCTCGAATTAAAAGCACTATTCTTCCGAAAGCATACCAGAAATTTCCTGTCCAGGATGATAGTATTGTGCGCTGGCTACCACTTCAAAAGGATTTGTATGTAAAGGCTGTGAGCGTGCTTCACCATGATGGGGCTGTTGAAATCATTTTGAAACTTATAATTTTTGAAACAATCGTAATAAACAATTCGTTATAGCTTAAGGCATAATCGATATTATTCACTGTACCTGATTCACGCGTTTCTTCACGCACGCATCCGCTGGCGCGCCATTTGGAAAACCGTTTAGTACCGTCACCGAAAAGGTCAATACACAAAATGCACAAATTGTCAAATTTAATTCCATAGTTGTACTATCGGCCTTCTTTGCAAGTCTATTCAAGACGAAATTGAATCTATGAGTGTCTGTTGTGTTATGTACGATTTTGGTCGGAAACTAATTTTGTTCTCCTGTCGCTGACCGTGAGGCTAGGCGTTTTTAAAGCCTTTGGGCTGGACGGCTTGCAAGCGAACAAAAGCTGAGCTTTGCTTTTTGGTTTTGCCTATTATTGACTTTGTCTTTTTTCTCTTCAATTGACAGCATTCAACAATTGTTGAATGCTTGTTTTTATTAAAAGAGACTTTGGCCTAAACTTTTTGTCAGTGTTTCGAAGCCTACAAATAGCGTGGTACTGCTGCAAGCCGTGGTTAACGCGATAAACTTTTGCTGATATTCGGAACTTTAGGGTTGCGTGACTTTAGGGTTGTGCTTTATATTTAAACGGAAACTTCTGAATTTATTTTACAATTCAAAACTTTATTTTTTATTATCATAAAATTACAAAATTTTCTGAAAATGCTTTTGCTGTGATCAAGTATATTTATAGTATGTACCAATTGTAAAAGATACCTTAGATATATCTAAGCTACCTATAAGTATAAGGAATACAATTAGTTATTAGTATTGGAACTTTTACAATTATGCAAAATGTTTTGAAATTTAAGGAGATCAAGCTAAGAGAGGTCAAGCGAACATGACATACAAAAAACTAGAAAGCTACAAAACTACACGATTTGACAACCCAAGAAAGCCAAGTTCGGAGCTATTTTTTATACACGATTATCCATTTTATAGTTGCAGAGTAAATGTAAATAAAACAAACATTTTTTTAAGAGTTGGATCAACTCTTAGAGTATATTTATATTGGACCTTGTCATTAGATGTGAAATTGCATTTAAATGCAATCTACCATACATTTTACTGTACTAGAAACTTTCAAGGTAATTTTCGATGACTTGTCGGTACATAGCCGTCAATTACGATACACACGATCGTTTTCGTAGTCTCAAAAAAAAAGTTCAGAAGTGACAAATCTTCGTAGTCCATTCACATCACCAAATATTTATAATATATGTATGAATAAATATATTTATTTATTATAATATTAATTTATTATCATATTTATTATGTATTATATATTATATTTATAATAATATGCTACCAAATCATAATCACGAAATGGACAACCCTTTACAGTTTTGAAAATATATCGTCTGAGAAAAATATATATATAAAGGAATATTTATTTATTTCGATCTCTATTTTTCTGTTTTCTCTATTTTTTCATTGTATAAAATTAAAGAATGTTACTTTCAAATAAAAAAATTTATTCAAATTTAACAGTCTAGAAGAAACTTTCATTATCCCTTACAAATTCATCTGTTCCAAAATATACTCCAAGGTTAAATAATTTGGTGAGCCAATACCATAGAACCCCACCTCAGCTATGGCGAAATGCCTTCACTTAATTTTATTGTTTACATTTTTCATGGTTCAACGGCTGCAACTAGTTTTGCTGCTTAAAGTAATTGAACGATTCTGTGTGTGAATATCATTTATATGAATTTTAATGACTACTGCATTTATGTTCCTAACGTTGCATGCCTCCAACACACGCATTCACAACAACAAAGTTCCCTTCCCCAAAGAGAGAAGTTGCAGAAACCAGAAATTGCACCTCAACTCGCAGTGCTGAACTCACAACCAAAAGCTTTTCGGGTGTCGAATGTGGAAATATTTGTCTTTTGAGTTTGGCAGTTTGGCATTTAACCAGTTTTTAATTAATTAAGCGATTGTCGCTGCGGAAATCGCTTTAGAACTGCAAGTGCGTAAAAACTGGGTCACTTACCGTCGCATTTATGCACTTTTTTGTTGGGCGAATGCGTGCCTTTTAAGTGCCTTTTGAGTTTTTTCTTAATTCTTAACTAATAATATGTTAATTTAAAAAAAAATTTTATAAGCTTATAATTCTGAACTATTTATATGTTAATATAAAAAAACAACAACTTTATTTTTTTAACCATAAGCATAATTAAGAGCTTCTTTTGTGTGTTCTAAAAAAGTAGAAAAGTTAAGTTTAAGTAGAATATTACAAATAATTTGAATAATTTAAACAACATATCATAATTAAAAGTAATAGATTTTAAAATTCATACTTAGGCCGTGTGCGAATTCGAGCAAATTGATGGTAAATTGGTAAATTGAGGGAAATAGTAAATTATGTCGGTATGGCAGCGAATGTTGGTATTTACTAGAATTTCGCGTAAGGCAAATTACATAAAATTTAAGTAAATTAGGTGTTACCACTGTAAAAATTTTATAATATGTTTAATAAATAAATTCGTAAACTTTTAACCAAAAATAATAAATAAGTGCAATAAATAAATAAATAAACATTTACACAAGTGCAGTGCAAAAAATCTCTAGGAAATTTCAATTTACTTTGCCTCAATTTACTCGAACTCGCACACGGCGTTAATTTAAACTTTAAAACAAAACAAAAACTTTTTTTAAATAGGCAATATGTAAAAATGCTACAGAGTAAAAAATCGTAAATGCATGAAATGAAATTGTCTATCTCAGAAAATTGTTAATACGATTGTCTCAAATACTCGCCTGTAAAATACCGAACACAACGGAGCGCCAAACAAAAACCAATGCCACCCTTTTCGATAACACTTGACATGATAATATGGAGGGCGCCACTTTAACCCCTAAGCTAGGGCTAAAATTTTAACCCAAGTAACAGATGGTGTAGAAGTGAACCACAATGCATAATTATTCTGGGAATCAATGTGGCAGTTAACGAGAATGGTGACAGCGACGACAGCAACAGTGTCAGCAAAAAAGAAATTAATGCAAACGGAATAAAGCCGTCAAGTGAGCAACAAATTAAGTGGCAAAACTGATTAGTGTTGAGTGTTTTGTGCGTAGTTATTCGGTATTCACTTATTCGCGGTATGACAACATGACTACTAACATTTAGCATTAATAACAAAGGCAATAACCTAACATCCTATTTTATTAAAGGTAGTTTGTCAGTTAACACTCTTTGAAAATATAACGGTTAAAACATCATTTTCAACATAACCTTCTGAATAATTGTCTAAAGAACAATTGTTCAAGTACACCAGACTGAATCGTTCTATAATAAGTATTCTATAACCAATCAATGCAATCATTCCTTCAAACGCATTTTCTCAATTATTTTGTCCTGTACATTCCTTTTTGAGGACTAAAATGCATTAACAGATATTCTGCAGGCGGTAACTTAGAAACCAAAGACCTTTGCTGTCAAATCTGTAATGTTAATCATATCTAGATTTTCAGTTTGTTGTTTAGACCGACAACTGTATTAGCATAAACCTTCATGTGTTATTTTGAATTAAATATATCACACTTTAAATGTTTATTACGTTTTGAAGTTTAAATATTTGTAACTAACATCAATGGAATGGCAAATATCTTAAATGATAAAGCTTTATTCACTTTTAAAGTACTCAAATGCAACTTCTGTTTCTAAAGTCATGACACCAAACGTATTTTTCATTATGTTATAATAAAATGCATTAGAGTGTCTAATGTATAAATGTATTTAAAGCTTATTCTTGATATCTATTTATTAAAATTACCTTTTCCAATTCACAAAGCACTTCATAGATCAATAATGCTTTCAAAAACCAAGAATGTGGATAGAATATACTTTACATACATATTTAACCTGGAGAGATGCTTGTATATCTGCATGCAGAATATCTGCATATCTTCATGGGAAGTTTATGTCACACTGCACAATTAATAATTTATTTGAACATGTGTTAATCGATTGTATATCAATTACTTCCAATGCACTTCTTACATTAAATCTAGCAACAATCAATTCGCCTACTTTTCGTTAAAGATAAGTAAAGATAAGTAATTCTGCAACAATTTTTAAAGAATCGTTTATTTTTTTTTAAAAATTTTAAGACAATTTAAAAATGACCTAAGTGTGTTTTTCTAGTCCTTATAGTGGTGAAATTTATGTATTTTTTTTATTATTTTACATTTCTTAAACTACTGCATTCTTCACCTTTTAATTTATTGAAAGAAATCCCTAAGGATGCAATCATTTATTAGACAATTTTGCCCCACAAATGATTTAGAAGGCAGACGAGTAACAAGGTTCGGTCAGAAAAACAGATTTCTGCACTGTTGGTGCTCAAAAGGGAATGAAATGAAATGATGGAGTGAACGAAAAAGAAAACAATTTGTGTAGGGAATAAAAGCAATTTGTGCACTGAAATTAAAATTGAATTGCAGTTAAGAATAAAAAAAAATTCAATATTATTTTGCATTTATAATTTAATTAAATTTTGCGCATAATTATGAAATGGAAAGGGAATGGACCTGTGATTACTGCCGATTTCACAAATAACTGCAAGTAGTATATTATATAAATATATGTATATGTATGTAAAGCTGACTACAGATTTAAACTATGTAATTTTTATTCAACTTAAGTGGATTATGTATCCTTTCACAAAAATAGAACGAAGTGGCTTGGCTTTGTTTAACATTAAAATATTCTGTGTGCGCAGCAAATAAATTTGCATATTGTGGTGCGATTTTCGTGCTTGCAGTGTAAGCCGCAAACCGAGCCTTTGCTTTGAAGAATGGAGAATGACGTGGAAGTTTCGTCGTTACTACAGTAACTGTAATTGTGCATGCATTGTGTGTAGCTGGCACATTACTCACATTACTCACATTACTTACCATACATGCAACATTATTAGCACATGGTAGCAATATTTTGTGCTTGTGACACACGTACATGTACTAAGCTTCTAAGCTTGTCATGCAATGTGTTCCCTGCACTGCAATTGAGAAACTTAACACCCTGTAATATATTTATGAGTCATTATCACTACGCTACTTGAGTCATTTACATTTGTCATATTTGTACATATCCATATGTACATTTGTCCTTTGTGTAGAATTTACTATATGTAAAAGAGTTTTTTGAAGTGTGTTTCTTTCTTTAACAAATGCAACTAAGCAAATTGCAAATGATTTGTTGAAATAGTAGAATTAAAAAGAAATTTATTAAATATATTTAAATCCTCATACTAAGGTCAATACAATTGTCTTTGGA